GATTTAAAGACTTCAAGTCACAGAGAATCCTCCAGCAAGTGACCCCTACCCCATGCTGCGGAGGAAGGCGAAAAACTTCCAGGGCCTCTGCCAATCTACCCTGGAGGAAAAATCCTTCCCGACCCCAAATATGGCGATCAGCTAAACCCTGAGCATGCAGGCAAGATTCTCCAGCCAGACCCTCCGGAAAAAGTTCTCTGTAGTAACTTTTAATATCCCATCATTGACCATTGTTACTAATTACCAGCGATGGCACGTTATTGACCTATTGACTAAAGTCACTTTATCCCATCAAACCGTCCCCTCCATAAACTTATCAAGCTTAATCTTAAAGCCAGAGAGGTCTTTCGCCCCCACTGTTTCCCTCGGAAGGCTGATTCACATGACCTATAGACACAAATAAGCAACTTCCTAAAATTAAAGTAATTTTGTGCAAAATAATTTGACTAGCAAGGATGAGCAGTTTAAACTGTATCCATTGCATTGCTCAGCTTTTCTACAAGTATCATATAATTTCACATGAGGTGCTGAAATGCAGTCCTTCAAAAAAAGCTCTTTTTAGCTCTTAAAGTGGAGGCACATATATGCTAGGCTAGTTGCACAGTATGCCTTATGAAGTTACTCTGTAATTTACTCCATTTGTAAATATTTTGTCAGATTTCTTCAGGAAATATTGTAAAACTGGTATTCTGTAGATTTGTTTCCCCTTGGGTTCTATGGCAGTACAGCATCTGTCTTTTGGGTTTTGCTGGTAATGTCTAAAGCAGAACAAGTTTTCCTTGATCTGGGATTGACATGTGTCATAAAAACAAATTGGGGCATTCCTGTATGTAAAAAAGAAAATTGGATGTAATCTTAGGCTCTCGGCAACTAGTCTTTGACTTTCTGAGAAATAGCACTAATACATAGACTTTTCATAGCACTTCGCATTTCTGAATTCGTTACCTACCTGACAAGGATCAGTTAATGATAGTAAATATTCTCTCTACAAATAGGAAAACAGTGGTTAGTTAAATGACTTGCTCAGGGCCACACAGTGAGTTCAAGTGTCATAGCAGATGTTAGCATTCGTGAATTTCTGGCTCTCAGTCCTTCAGCTTGATGTGCGACCTCTTGTGGGTCACAGAATAGTAATTCCACAACCACAATTCTAAGGGTTTGTCTACACTGGCACTTTACAGCATTGCAACTTTCTCGCTCAAGGGTGTGAAAAACATACCCCTGAGTGCTGCAAGTTTCAGTGCTATAAAGTGCCAGTGTAGACAGTGCACCAGAGCTATTCCCCTCATGGAGATGTTCCTTTTTTTTTTTTTCTCTCCCAGCGCTATGCTGCGACTACACAGCCACGTTAAAGCGCTGCCGCGGCAAGAGCTTTACCGTTGCTAGTGAAGATATGCCCTTGCCCTGTTATCTCAGGAGTTTATATGTTCTATGACTACTCTAGCAAAATCCAAATTAGACCACAATACACATCCAGCGAACTAGTTTTACCCTCTATTATCTTAGTGTTTTCCTTTTCTTTTTTTGGGTGGTGGGTGAGAGGTAGGTTAATTTACTTTTGCTTCGTGAAACTGTATGTTGACAGTGGTGTTAGTCTGACATAAAATACCCTAGCCATTAGTCTAAAAATACTTGTCTACACTCAGTAACAAAGATTTTGGCAACTTTTGGCATATTATATTTCAGTCAAAAAATAGCTTGTGAATACTGTCACTGGGCAGGCGAACCCGATTTCTGTGAAACATAAGAAATTACAAAATAAAGTACAGGGTGAGGAATCTGAGGAGAATCACATAGGTTGCAAACCATGCGAATGGGCAAATAGTGGTAGATGAAAGTGAAAAGTGCTATCGAGTCTTTAACTGTTATGTGGAAAGCTGTGAGAGAAGTTAAACAGGCATGGCTGCCTTTCTCGTCCAAAATACAGTTACTCTTCTAGGACTGTAATGTAATGTCAGTAGTGGATTATGAGCTCAAATCATGGTGTGCGATGTGTCTTTGGGCCAGAAGATCATGGATATGACACTACCAGAATTTCAAATGACAGGTTCCAATGAAAGAAGTGTTGCTGCCACTACCAGTCAGTAGTTCTGGTCCTTTTATTGCTCTAGCAGTCAGTGAGTACTTGTTTGCTCAAAAGGCTTTCATGGCTGTCACAGCCGTGAAAGTCCTGAACTACTGATTGATGACCTTGTCCAGTTGCTAGCCATGATGAATGCTGTTCTTGCTCTGATTGGATAACATTTGATCCAGCAATGAACCAGCCAAAATGCCACAGGTAGCTATGAAAAGTCACCCAAACATTTCTACTTGCTGCTTACATCAGAACGTGCAGCAGTTCTGCAGTACTTGCAGAAGATGTGTTGATTTGGCACTACCAGCCCACAGGAATATATTCCTTTTGTACTTTGCCAGATTTGAAGAAATGCATTAGGGCCTTTCCTCCAAATACAGCTACAGAACATCTTGGTCTCTAGATGCTATATAATAAAGGCTCCATGTGATCTGAGCCAAGCTATACCTAAATTCTTTGGCAAGGACCTGTGGTTTCTGTGGCAACCTGGTGCTGGAAGTTCTGCAGGAGCTTCATTTAATCAGTACAGTAGCCCTGTGTTACTTGTTTTTATATTCAGTTTCTCTTCACAATGCTGCCTCCACCTTTTCAGTGTGTTGCGATGATTTCTTTACAGTATTGGCAATGTAAAACTGCATCATAGTTGTTGAAGTTTTTGGCAGCTGGCTAGGGAGCAGTTGGTGCTTATGGTGCCTGTGGGGAGAGAGAGAAATCAATTTGGGATAAACATATAATCTAAAATGCACAGTAGTGAAATATGCAGTGTAGTTGTGGCCATGTCGGTCCCAGGACATTAAAGAGATAAGGTGGATGAGGTAATATCTTTTATTGGACCTACTTCTGTTGGTGAGGGCTTTCGAGCCACACAGAGCTCTTCTTCAGATCTGGGAAACATACTCTGAGCATTAGAGCTAAATTGAAGGTGGAAGAGATTGTTTAGTAGTTGCCATTACTTAATAGTATCCTTCAAGGTAGAATGGCCAATTAACACCTGCAGTCATAGGACAAAAAGAAGGGATTAGTGGGTTACAGATTATTATAATAATCCATAAATCCGGTGTCTGGTCAGTCTGTGATTTTTAGTGTCTAGCAGAGTTATGAATCTAAGATCCCGAGCTCATCTTTTGAAAGTGTTGTGCAGGTTTCATTTGAGGATAAGGACAGATAGGTCAGACATAGAGTGATTGCTTTGTGAAAAGTATGAGGAGTACTTGTGGTACCTTAGAGACTAAAAAATTTATTTGAGCATAAGCTTTCGTGGGCTAAAGCCCACTTCATCAGATGCATGCAGTGGAAAATACAGTAGGAAGATATATACACAGAGAACATGAAAAAATGGGTGTTGCCATACCAACTCTAATTGATTAAGGTGGGCTATTATCAGCAGGAGAAAAAAAACTTTTGTAGTGATAATCAGGATGGCCCATTTCAAACAGTTGACAAGAAGATGTGAGTAATAGTAGGGGGGAAATTAACATGGGGAAATAGTTCTTAGTTTCTGTAATGACTCATCCACTCCCAGTCTTTATTCAAGCCTAATTTAATGGTGTCCAGTTTGCAAATTAATTCTAGTTCTGCAGTTCCTTGTTAGTCTGTTTTTGAAGTTTTTGTTGTTGAATAATTGTGACTTTTAGGTCTGTAATCGAGTGACCAGGGAGGTTGAAGTGTTCTCTGACTAGTTTTTGAATGTTATAATTCTTGACATCTGATTTGTGTCCATTTATTCTTTTGCATAGAGACTGTCCGGTCTGGCCAATGTACATGGCAGAGGAGCATTGCTGGCACATGATGGCATATATCACATTGGTAGATGTGCAGGTGAACGAGCCTCTAATAGTGTGGCTGATGTGATTAGGTCCTATGATAGTATCCCCTGAATAGATATGTGGACAGAGTTGGCAATGGGCTTTGTTGCAAGGATAGGTTCCTGGGTTAGTGTTTTTGTTGTGTGGTGCGTGGTTGCTGGTGAGTATTTGCTTCAGGTTGGGGGGCTGTCTGTAAGCGAGGACTGGCCTGTCTCCCAAGATCTGTGAGTGTGAGGGATCGTCCTTCAGGATAGGTTGTAGATCCTTGATGATGCGCTGGAGAGGTTTTAGTTGGGGGATGAAGGTGATGGCTAGTGGCATTCTGTTACTTTCTTTGTTGGCCTGTCCTGTAGTAGGTGACTTCTGGGTACTCTTCTGGCTCTGTCAATCTGTTTCTTCACTTCAGCAGGTGGGTATTGTAGTTGTAAGAACGCTTGATAGAGATCTTGTAGGTGTTTGTCTCTGTCTGAGGGGTTGGAGCAAATGTGGTTGTATCTTAGAGCTTGGCTGTAGACAATTGATCATGTGGTGTGGTCTGGATGAAAGCTGGAGGCATGTAGGTAAATATAGTGGTCAGTAGGTTTCCGGTATAGGGTGGTGTTTATGTGACTATCGCTTATTAGCACTGTAGTGTCCAGGAAGTGGATCTCTTGTGTGGACTGGTCCAGGCTGAGGTGGATGGTGGGATGGAAATTGTTGAAATCATGGTGGAATTCCTCAGGGGCTTCTTTTCCATGGGTCCAGATGATGATGAAGATGTCATCAATGTAGCGCAAGTAGAGTAGGGGACATAGCCAAGTCTGTGTTGGGTGTGAGGTCAAACTAACTGTAATGATCTGAGTGACATAGTTAGGTCAATCTAATTTTTAAGTGTAGACCAGGCCAAAGACTGTGTAATTCAGACTGCCGTACTAATTTTTTTGAATTTATTTTTCAACGTTTTATAAGTGAAGTGAGCAATCAAAAAACAATGCCCTTGTTCTGTAAAGGTGGGGATAGGATGGGTACCATTCTTAAATGGGGACTAAGGAAGGAGGAGTGGATGGGAGGGAAGAAGTTTTGAGCAATAAAAAGTTAAAAATGCTTATAAGAGGAATAATGGATATGTACACTCACCTGAGCTCCCTTACTGTTTATCACCAGGCTCATGTGCGCTTCCCAGGAGGGACTGATTTGACTATAGCAGAGTTTCAGATAACTCCTGGCTTATCATATGGTTTGCTCCTCCCTCCCGTTCCTCCTCCTCCTTGTACCCTGAAGTGGTCTCCATGTTAGACTCTTGCAACATATCCACAGTTGTATGTTGGATACTGCTGGGGTCCATGCCAAATATGGCATATGGTTCATTGTAGAAGCAATGGGACTGCAGAACAGCCCCAGATTTGGTGTTGGCATCCCTCGCCTTCTGATATGCCTGCTGACGTTCCTCTGCTTTCAGGAGGCACTCCTGCTCATCACTGTCATGCCCCTGGTTCAGTATCCCCTGTGCAATCTGCACACAGATGTCTGTATTTCTTTGGCTGTTGCTTAGCTGGATTTGCATAATTTCTTCTCCCCATAGGCCAAGGAGACCCACGACTTCTTTCCTGCTCCACACAGGAGCATGTCTAGTAGCTATCTATGTGCATGGAGCCCAGCATGGTTGGATGCTCACAAAATTGGTCTCATAGGCGCTCTCACCAATGTGGTCAATCAGAAAAGGGCATTTCAAAAACACAGTGCAGGTGTTAGAGCTGGGAAGGGGGCAAGTATCCTGTGTATGTGACCCCCCCCTGGGAGGTGGAGTTCAAAATTGTGATTAGAGCAACCACTGGTACAAAACAGGGGTATTGTGGAACAACAACTGGATGACTGTTAGGGTTGATACAGGTAATGCAGCGTCTGCTCTCACGCTGCATGGACAAAAGTAAAGTATCAGAGGGGTAGCAGTGTTAGTCTGAATCTGTAAAAAGCAACAGAGGGTCCTGTGGCACCTTTAAGACTAACAGAAGTATTGGGAGCATAAGCTTTCGTGGGTAAGAACCTCACTTCTTCAGATGCAAGCCAAAAATACTTTTTAATTACTTTTGCAAGGACAAAAGTAAGTCGACCATGCCTCTGTGTTGGGGAAAGTGGTCTTAATGAATCACTGTAATGGAGTGCTTACATCAGCAGGAGACAAATTTGGGTGTAGACACATGCACAGGTAGGTTAAAACAGGTCGACTTAGGGTATGTCTACAGTACATGTGCTGCAGTGGCACAGCATCAATGTTGCAGCTATGCCGCTGTAGTATAGATACTTATAGCAACAGAAGTTGCTTTCACATTGCAGTAGTAAATCCACCCCATTAGTAGAGGTAGAATTCATCTGTCGATCTAGCTGCGTCTGCAGGGGGGGTTGGGTCAACCTAACTGTGGACGTTTTTCACAGTCCTGAGCGATGTAGCTAGATCAACCTAAATTTTAGGTGTAGACCAGGCCTTAGGTTGACATAACTTTGTAGTGCAGACCAGGCCTGAGTTATTTTCCAGAGTCTCAGCCTTTTACTTAAAAAAAACAACAACCTCTACTAGCTATGGTTCTGAAGAAAGCCATCAAAGCATGAAGTGAGTGTGACTGATGCAGAGATGTTTGCTTGGGTATGCAGAGAGCCTGAACCAATAGCTCTGAGATGTGAAGTGCCCCATAAATTTCAGTGAGTACTAACTTGGATGTCTGAGAGGATATCTTTAAATATCAACATTGTTAACTATTTCACAGCTCACCAAAGCAAGTAAAACAGGAAAGGGAGTATCATATTATGAAGATGGACACCAGTGTTTCTCAAAATAGGGTGTAAAGGACTACCTGATTTTGACTTAAAGATGTCTAAATTAAGATGGGTTTATCAAATTTATCAAATACTATATCAAATACGCCTCTACCCCGATATAACGCGACCCGATATAACACGAATTCCGATATAACACGGTAAAGCAGTGCTCTGGGGCGGGGGCTGCGCACTCCGGTAGATCAAAACAAGTTTGATATAACGTGGTTTCACCTATAACGCGGTAAGATTTTTTGGCTCCCGAGGACAGTGTTATATTGAGGTAGAGGTGTACATTTATTCTTCTAATTTTAAGATAAGGAATAGATGGACTATAAATATTGTACCGTTTTTATAAAAAGTGCAAAATGGACAATTTGGTGTTTGAAAAAGGAGATATTTCTCACTTTAACAAAACGGCTGTGGTAAACTATGATGGGTGCACTATAGCATCTTGTCTTTTTATGACTAACAATATGTAACACTACCAGCTAAATCACAAATTTTCCAATTTGTGAAATCAGCTACCTCTTGTTTCTACATGTTGCAGTAGCTTATCTAACAACATTGCTCGGTGTGTATTCCTCACTACAAAATAGCTGAAGTTGGATGAAACCTTATCTATTATATAAAATATGTATTTTGTGGACTGTGGTTTTTCTGAGTACTTGATTTGCTACTTTCATGCTTTGAGAATATAAATCCTTAGATTTGATGAAATATATAGGAGATGAAGTAATGTGTGTTTTTCCCTTCCTTTCCCAGTAAGTAACAGATGCGGGTAAAAGATCCATCGAGGGCTAACCCTGAAAAAAACAAGAGAAACAAAAGGCCTAATAGGCCTCAGGATGAAGACTCTTCAGATGACATTGCAGGTAAATAAATTATGTGACATTTGGCAATCAGAGTGAGGGAGGGAAAACAGTGTCCATATGGTTTTCATTAGTCAACAAAGCAGAAGACACATGTGGGAACCGTGAACTGCGTGTTGGTTGAATGCAGCAACAGAGATGCTTACAATCAAACATCTATGGCATGATGAATTGTCATTACATTGCACTCAGGGAATTGGTGCAAAAATTAATGAACAGGATAGTTTGGCCATATTAACATTTTAAGGAGGCAGGTGTAAGGGCAGTGGTGCAGTGATGTAGTTGAAACACAGGGAAGGCCTTCCGTAAGGGTAGGAAAGGTTGTCCAAACTACCTATATTCATTCTCTCTCTCTCACTCTCAACACTCACACGGATTTCAGTAATGTTAACAGTGTTGACAAAAATTAAGAAAATGAATGTTTAGTAATTTTATCCTTTGGTTTATCTTGGATTTGTTGGGTTGTGTCACCAGCTTGTAGCTTTTTGGGTGTTCTATTTGGTAGGAAAAATAGTACTTTTAAAAAAGATGGAAATAAAATCCTTTAGATGCATCAGAAAATGGACGCTATCGTGTCCTTGGAGCTAATATGTCCTGCCTTTAAAAACTGATAAAGTGTAATTTATGTAAATAGTAGACAACTAATATGTTTTACAATTACAAAATTTTGTTAAACAAGTTGAGGGTAGGCTACAATTTAGATCTGTCAGTTTTGATAGTTACCTTCAAAGTAATCTCTATAATCAGCTTTTGTGTTGGAGCAGGGTTCTGGAAAGAACTGCTGTATCTGAAAGCCCTTAAGTTGTAACTTGAATAAGCATGGTGTGCAAGCTCGCTATATCTCCCAAGTATTAAACATATTTTTACAGTAACGAGTGCTACCTGATTAGTGTAAAATGGAATGTGATGTGTTATTACAGCACTTTAAAAAAAAAAAAAAGACGACTTGAATCCTTGTAAATGCACTTCGAAGATTGAATCTGGCTTTTGTGAAAGAAGTGAACATTTCCTGTTTCATATTTAGTTTTGTAGCTAATGACTGAGTGCCTTTTATTCTGTAGGTTTAACCTGCCAACATGTAAGCCAAGCAGTGGATGTGCATCATGTGAAGAGGGCAGTAGCACAGAATGTTTGGTCAATATGTTCAGAATGTTTAAAAGAAAGGCGAATAAATGATGGCGACCCAGTGATTCCTTCTGACATATGGCTGTGCCTCAAATGTGGCTCTCAGGTAAAGAAACTTGCACTGTAAATTTACGGACAAATATAGACCCTGATCCTCTGAAAGGAGTTGCAAGTGCAGATTTTATTTCTGCATGGAGTCTCACTGGCTTCAGTGGAACTCTGGGCAGGAGCAATTGGATTCTGCCCAAAGGGGAAGTGTTATCACCACAGATCCCTGCTTTTGGGATAAGCCTCTGCACTGCACTAGAGTTTGAAACCTCTGGAAAGCTCTGACTCTTGGGGATGGTGTTGATTTCTCTTCGAGCTATACAAACTTTCCATGCAAGCCTATACAAGGATGTGTGCATGCCACGCTACCCGTGGTACACCCACTGTTCTTTCTAGACAATGGAATAGCAGTTCAGAACTCCCCCTGGTCTCTTGACTTTGAGACTAGAAATAATTTTTAACAGTGAGAGTAATGAACCATTCACCAAGGGTCGTGGTGGATTTTCCATCATAGAGAATGTTAAAAATCAAAATTGGATGTTTTTTTAAAATATATGCTCTAGGAATTATTTCGGCGAAATTCTATGTCCTGTGTTATTCAGGCGGTCAGACTAGATGATCACAGTGGTTCCTTCTGGCCTTGGAATTTATGAACTTGCTAACTGTGTATATTGTTGGCCCCCCTGCTCTTCCCCCCCCCCCCCCCTTGTGTTGACTCTTCAGTGCCAGGAACTGCCCTTCCTGAACGATGACAGATCTAACCCAAAACTTAGATTTAACAAATGCTTGTCTTATGCCTCATCCTTGCTTATGGAGGAAGTCCTTATTGTTTTCCAGGCAGACTATGGGCAGGTCTAGCCTAGAAGCAGTACATTGGTGCAGATGCAGTGCATCTGGTGAAGACAATCTATGCTGACGGGAGAGTGTCTCCTGCCAACATAGCGCCACTGTGAATAGCGCTTAGGTCACTGTAACTTGTGTTGCTCGGGGCGCAGGGGCTGTCTTTCACAGCAGCGGCTCCGGCCCTAGCTCCAGCTGAAGCTGCAGAGGGCAGGGGAGCGCGCAGTCTCGGGTCCTGCCGCAGCCGCGGGAGGGCACGAGGGCGCACAGTCCTGGCTCAGTCCCCGCCTCTGACAGCTGAAGCCGAAATCATGAAGGTCTGGTAAAGTCACGGAATCCGTAACCTCCGTGACTAAACTGTATCCTTAGTTATAAAACATACTATTAGTTAGCAGATATTGGGACACAATTGACAAGGTCTAAGGAGGACTCCATGGCTTATATCCATAACATTCTTATTGTTAAAATATGAAGAACTGTTACCAGGAGCCCAATCCATGTGTTTATATAACATTACTCTTGATCTGGCCTCTAAATCTGATATTGTAGTTCAGAAAGGAAAACAGTCACTGTTCAATTCATCTCCTTAATCCTATCTCTTTAGATGATTATTACTGCTTATTACTCTCCCAAGAGTGGAGATCTGTACTGAATGACAGCACTAAAGGAGAAGTTATTCCACTGTAACGGAGTAGCTTGTCAGTACAGATGCATGTTCTCCCAAACTTATCCTCACTTTCCAGAGTCTACTCTGAATTCTTGGGAAATGGAAGGAATTGAGGGTATATTGGTGGCCATCCATTCTTGTATAACTTCTCATTGAGCATTCCATGGCTACAGGAGAAGTCTACTTGGCACCCTATGATCAAAGCTTTCCAGAGAGGTTTGGCCTTTAGTGAATTGCTCTGGGGCTTCCTAAGAGTGTTGCTCTGTACTGACAATCTACTCAGTGAATTCTAGTCATAGGTGAGTAACGTTTCAAGAGAGAACTAAATTTTGGAGTGCTTGTAATAGTAAGTACAGTTGGGCAGGAAAAAAATGTTTTGTCCCATGTAAATTTTAAAGATTTCACAATTTTTTCCTGCTCCGTATTGGGATGAAACTGAGACCTTTTGACGTTTATTGTGAAAAACTAGAGCAAGACCCACCCCAGAAAAGCCAATAGCCTAGCGATTAGGGGACTCAACCTGTCTCTCCCATATCCCAGGTCAAGTCCCTGCTTTACCTGATTCAGAGAAAGAGCTTAAAGCAGGGAAAGTAGACAAATTCAGACTGGCAATAAGGCATATGTTTTTAACAGTGAGGGCAATTAACTACTGGAACACCTCACCATTGGCTGTGGTGGATTCTCCATCAATGAAAATGTTTAAATCACGATTGAATGTTTTTCTGAAAGATATGCTCTGGTTTAAAATGGAATTAATTCAGAGAAGTCCTTTGCCTGTGTTATACTAGAGGTGGGACTATGTGATCACTACGATCCTTTCTGGCCCTAAAATCAATGAGAACGGGGGAAATTCCTGTATTATTTTTTGAAAAGTATGATCCACTCACCTTTGTATTGTTATCCATGGGGTGTGAAGGGGTTGATTTCTTTCCTGAAATAGAGGATAAGCAATGCGGGGACTAGGTGAAAGTGATGTAGGCAAATTGGTATGAATAGTTTTATCGAGAACTGTCAACGTGTGAATGAAGCTACCTTACGGATACAATGGAAGGTCACCAGTTGGACACAAACTTGTAATGACTCCAGTCAAGGGGGGCAGGACATGTGAAAACACCGTGACAGGAGTTGGATACAAATAACGCAGGTGTTAGGAGTTGGCAGTAAGAATGCTGCTGCCCAGTGCTGCGAGGTTCAGGGCAGGTCTACATTAAACACCCTGCATCGGCACAGCTGCGATGCTTAAGTGAAGACATTCCTATGCTGATGGGAGAGTTTCTTCCAGTGGTGTAGTTAATTCACCTCCACAAGAGCTGGTAGCTGTGTCAACAGGAGAAGCTCTCCTGCCGACATAACGCTGTCTACACCAGGGTTTAGGTCAGTATAACAATGTCGCTCGAGAGTGGATTTTTCCCACCCCTGAGTGACGTAGTTATACTGATAAAAGTCTGTAGTGTAGACCTGACCTTAATCCTGGACATTTGGCAAGACAAAGAGGTAGAGCTGCCAGGAGCATGGTGAGAAATAGTTACTGAAGTATGTATAGCAGGCATGGGGCTCCCCCTTGTAAAAAGCAGAGGCTCAGGGCTTAACACTAAGAAGGTTACACCCCCAGGAACACTGTATAAAGGTTGTTGGCATAGCACAACTTATGGATCTCTGACAGATACTGGGTGTTCTAAAAAAAAAAAAAAAATCACACTTCTACCTATATTTACATTGTTACAAGTAATGCCCAAGATCATTATAATTGAAAGATTAAAAAAAATAATTTTCTCTGTATTTCTTTTATGTTCTTTTTGTGCATTTGGGCAGCTCGCTTTGTGTAGTCAGTTTCACTGTTCTCTCTGTCACTGTGTAACTCTCATGCAGCAACAGGGGAGAGACTCTAAATATAGGAAAATACAATTGTAAAACAGTTTTTAATGCTTTTAGGGTTGGTATAGTGCCTGAAACTAGTTTTAATTATAATTTTTTTTTTAATTACGGGATTTGAAGTCGACAGTGTCCCTTTAGATAAAAAGTATATTCTTACTCATGAAATTCCATTTGTGTGTGTGTGTGCATATACACACCTCTACCTCGATATAAAGCGACCCGATATAACACGAATTCTGATATAACACGGTAAAGCAGTGTTTGGGGGGGGGGCGGGGCTACGCACTCCGGCAGATCAAAGCAAATTCGATATAACGCTGTTTCACCTATAACGTGGTAAGATTTTTTGGCTCCCGAGGACAGCGTTATATCGAGGTAGAGGTAGGGATGTGTGTGTGTGTGTGTGTATAGATATAGATATACACTTCTCACATGAGTGCTTTAACAATGTTTTTCTAAGAAAAAATTTATGCTCTCCTGCAGGATATTCTCTAGCATACAAACTCCATTCCTGCGAGCAAGCACTAGTAAAGTGAATCAATAAAAATCCTGCTTTTTGGAGTTCTAGATGATTTTACCTCTTTTTCAAGAAAATGATCTTCAGTTCTGTTTTGTAAAGTAAAATATTGTAGTGATTTGTTGAAATATAATATGTATAACCTTTTCTTAATGATCTCATTTTCAGGGTTGTAGTCAAAACTCAGAAGGCCAGCATTCTCTGAAACATTTCCAAACTGCTCGCACAGAACCTCATTGCATTGTAATCAATCTCAGCACATGGATCATATGGTAAGATTGTGTATAGGAGTATTCATGTAGAGTGTGTGTGTGTATGTATGTATACACACACACACACACTATTAAAAGACTCTTTTATTTAACGAGGGCAGTTGGTTAATCGCAGTTAACACATGTGATAACTCAAAAAAATCAATCACAATTAAAAAAATAAATTGTAATTAATCACAGTTTTAATTGCACTGTTAAACAATAGAAGACCAATTGAAATTTATTAAATATTTTGGATGTTTTTCTACATTTTCATATATATTGTATTCTGTGTTGTAATTGAAATCAAAGTGCATATTATTTTTAATTACACATATTTTCACTGTAAAAATGATAAACACAAGAAATAGTATTTTTCAATTCACCTCATATAAGTACTGCAGTGCAATCTCTTTGTCGTGAAAGTGCAACTTAGAAATTTAAATTTTTATTGTTACATAACTACACTCAAAAACAAAACAATGTAAAACTTCACAGCCTACAAGTCCACTCAGTCCTACTTTTTGTTCAGGCAATCGCTAAAACAAACAAGTTTGTTTACATTTACAGGAGATAATGCTGCCCTCTTCTCATTTACAATGTCACCAGAAAGTGAGAACAGACATGTGCCAGATATGCTAAATATTCATATGCCCCTCCATGCTTCGGCCACCATTCCAGAGGACATGCTGATGATGCTCATTTAAAAAAAATGTGTTAATTAAATTTGTGACTGAACTCCTTGGGGGAGAATTTTATGTGTACCCTGTCTGTTTTACCCACATTCTGCCGTATATTTCATTTTATAGCAGTCTCGGATGGTGACCCAGCACATGTTGTTCATTTTAAGAACACTTTCACTGCAAATCTGACAAAACACAAAGAAGGTCCCAATGTGAGATTTCTAAAGATAACTACAGCACTCGACCCAAGGTTTAAGAATCTGAAGTGCCTTCCAAAATCTGAGAGGGACGAGGTGTGGAGCATGCTTTCAGAAGTCTTAAAAGAGCAACACTTTGATGCAGAAACTACAGAACCCGAAGCACCAAAAAAGAAAATCAGCCTTCTGCTGGTGGCATCTGACTCAGATGATGAAAATGAGCATGTGTCGGTCTGCACTGCTTTGGATTGTTATCGAGCAGAACCCGTCATCAGTATGGATGAAAGTTCCCTGGAATAGTGGTTGAAGCATGAAGAGACAAATGAATCTTTAGCGCATCTTGCATGTAAATTATCTTGTGACGCTGGCTACAAGAGTGCCATGCGAACACCTGTTCTCACTTTCAGATGACATTGTAAACAAGAGGCAGGCAGCATTATCTCCTGCAACTGTAAACAAACTTGTTTGTCTGAGCTGTTGGCTGAACAAGAAGTAGGACTGAGTGGACTTGCAGGCTCTAAAATTTTACATTGTTTTATTCTTGAAGGCAGGTTTTTTTGTACGTAAGTCTACATTTGTAAGTTCAACTTTCATGATAAAGAGATTGCACTACAGTACTTGTATTAGGTGAATTGAAAAATACTATTTTGTTTTTTTACAGTGCAAATACTTGTAATAAAATTAATATAAAGTGAGCACTGTACACAGTGTATTCTGTGTTGTAATTGAAATCAATATATTTTAAAATGTAGAAAAGACCCAAAAATATTTAAATAAATGGTATTCTAGTATTGTTTAGCAGTGCGATTAATCACGATTAATTTTTTTAATCACTTGACAGCCCTACTTTTAACTTAAATAAAGTGCTGTCTTTGTCAAAAGCTAAATAAACTCCACTCCAGTCTCGCTGCTCACATGAATGAGACCTATCCCACTTCCTTTGTCTCCTCCATGGATTCCCACAAACTACTGAAAAAAAGACCTCTTCCCAGTAGGCAGTAAGCCTTAGTGCCCATTTTCCCTCTGTCCTCTTGTCACGGAGTATTGGGGAACTCAGGGCCCTGCACCCCCGGCTTCCCGCGATTCACCATGACTTTCAGCCAGCCAGTAAAGCAGAAGGTTTATTTGGATGACAGGAATACAGTCCAAGACAGGTCTTGCAGGCACAGATAACAGGGCCCCCCTCAGTTAGGTCCATCTCGGGGTCCCAGGGCATCCCAGCCCCCCTTGGGAGGTCAGAGCAATCTCTGCCTCCCA